CTACCCACGTTCGCCATGAAGCCTCCACTGACTCGTCTTCGCTTTCCTCCTCCTCTTCCTCAGAGTCGCTGGACTGCTCCAGCTGTGGAGGATCGTCATCCAAAGTGCCGCTGTCATTCCTAGTTATAGATGTAGGACTCAGGTGTATTTCGTACCACTGGCGCAAGTCAAAATTTTCACTTCTAAGGAGTGATTTCTGGATGCATAATCCAGCGCTACTACTAGCTCGACGAAACAACAAGGATCCAGCAGATATCTCCTGCCCCTCCCACAGCGGGACGTCACCGTCATTGGGGTTCCCCCTCAACGACTCCATCTCGTACTGCTGTAATAGGATGAGGGTCATGGCGAGAGTTGAGTTTCCCAACGTACGAAAGTAACGCTCCGGAAGTACCAGCCCCAGGGCATCTGGGTGGATGCCCTGGGCCAGATAACACTTCTGAGCCCAATGCCAACCCAGCTGGAACTCCGGGTCCTCCAAACAATCGGCGTGCACGATCTCGTCACCCTCCAGGATGTTCAGCGGGGTGCCGCAATCCAGTATGCAGTAGTAGTCCGCGTTGTGCACCCGGTAGACCAGGAAACGGTCCTCAGTTGGTTCAGACCCATCGTCGCCTGGAAAGGGAGCGCACCGTTGTAGCACCAGACAGGCAAAGCGCGCTACCAGGTCTCCTGTGCCTGTTCCTGCTCCCGGCGACTCCGTCCCTACCGACATGGATTCGATGGTCTGGTCCATGAGGCCCAGCGCTGGTCGAGCTCGACGCTCCTCCGGCCCCAGTGACAGCGCCTCCATCCCTTCGGCTAACATCTCCATTTCCGGGCACGTTGGCCTATCCGTTCCTCGTGCCAAGTATTCCAGCTCGTCGATGTCGGCGCAACTGATATCTTCCCAGTCGCTTGGCTCTGATCTTGACGATTCGGACTCCGAGAACTGCTCCAGTATCTCGCCTGCGTCATGGACAACTAACGGGAAAGCGCTAGCAACGTCCAGCGTTTCAAACACTTCAGTAGTTTCGCCTAGAGAAGCCAAGCGCAAGCTTACACCGTGGGCTCCAAAGCCAGGCGGCTTGCCTTTGACCTTGGACTTCATTGTGGTGAGCTTAGGGCAGCTCCTCGCCATGTGGCCAGCTTCTTCGCAGTTGAGGCATACTCCACGAGTCATAAGCTCGGCTCGCTTCTGAGGTGAAAGCCGTCGCTCCCAAGGTCGGTCCGCGGTGTTGTCGCTGCTCCTAGTCGAGGTGTGGGACGGAGACGGGGCAGTGGCCGGTGGAGGGTAGTGACGAGAGACCGGCTTTGGACCATTCTCCCGGGGTGGCATTACCGCGGCTGCAGAAGCCTTGATAACACCCCGTTGTCTCCGAGGGAAAAACTTCTTCTTCTTGACGTCTTGTCCGCCGCTCGCCGGCCCTGGCCCAGAGCCAGCGGCGTTGTTGCTCGGTACGCTCTTGCTCTTACGCCTTCTGTCAAGGCTCAAAAACCGCTCAGCTCTAATTGCCTTCTTCACGACACGGGCCCACTTCGACTTCTCCGGGTCCAAGCCGAACCGGAATAATTCCTCTTGGATATCAGCGTCGAAGCTGTTCCACAGCAAGGCCACACGCTCGCGGTCCTTCTTCAGGCCGATCTGTAGCATGATGCTCTCCAGTTCCAGGACGTGTTTATTCACCGACTTCCCGTTCTGGTGACAACGGGTAAGTCGCTTCCGTTGTTTTTGTCTGTAATCCAATGAGAAACAGTACTTCAGAAGGCGCCGCAGCATTTTTTTCAATGTCCATTTATGCTCCTGGCCCCGGATTCTTCGATTATAGAAATCCTTTGCATCCCCGTCTAAGAACGAACCTATTATCGGGACACGGTGAGCCTTCGGCACATTCCCCAGCTCGCAGTAACGATTCGCCTCGTCCACGAACTGGGTGTACTGGTCCGCGTTCTCCGACCCATCGTATCTAGCCGGGGGGTTGGGCTTCACCAACATCTTGCCTTTTGGTCCGGGGCTCGCCTTCCTCTTGCGCTTCTTTGTCTTGCTCTTCCTAGCGCGAGATTCCACGTCCATACTAGAGTCATCAGAACTGTCTGATTCGGTACTCGAGCTCGAGGGTGAGCTCCCCGTATCTGAGCTAGAATCGCTGGATGACTCGCTGGGTAATCCACCTGAGTCATCGCCTTCTGACTCTTCAGACGACGATTCAGAGCTGGATCCCCCGCTCTCCGATGGCTGAAGGCTGACACCCCTCAGGACGCTGTTTACAAAGCCGATGTTCTCTTTAGGCTCCGTCGAGCGCCTTTTCGGCGTCCTAGAGGGAGCCCGGGTGCGCGCCCTTTCGCTCATCAGTTTTGGTCTCTGACTTCCCGACATGGCGGAGGTTTTCCGCTGGCGCTCTCGTTCCTCGAGTTCGCCAAGGCGTTCCCTCATTCGAGAAAGCTCCCGAAGTAAGACGTCTCGGTCGTTTGCCTGCGTCGTTACCTTATTCGGCGTTCTCAGGGCATGGTTTCTCGTTTCCGCTTTGATTGCGGGGGGCGTTCGACCGGAGTCGTGACGAACCCTCTCCCCTTGCGCCAGCTCAAAGGCCTTCAAAGCGTTTTTCTGAGCTTCCAAGTCGCTATCGGAGAGCTGAGCCTCTCCCCAGTTACCAGGATCGGGTCCCTTGCCTTTCTCCTGGGAGGGACCGGCGACCGGCGGCTGTGGATCCACGCTGCCATCTGACCATTCGGCTTCCTTCAGCCGATAAGCGTGGTCTCCTTTGGACCTATCACCGATCACGTCCGATTCGGCGATATCCTCAGAGGTCGTTCCGAGGTCCTGCTCCTGTCTGGGGACAGGCGCACGTTGCTCTGCCGCGCTTGCCAGGCTGGCGTAGCGGTCGGAGATTAGCCGCAGCATCTCAGGGGACATGGCTTCGGCCGCCTCGTCCAGAATGGAGGTGAGTTCCTCCCGGCTATTGCGAATATCGTTCAGTTCTGTACCTGTTCTACTAGCAGGACTGGAACTACGACTACTAGCAGACTCCCGATGAGTACGGGCAGTCCGCTTCGTGGCTAAGGTCCAGGGACCGTCACTCCTATCCGCCTCTTCTATCGATCCTGCGACGTCCAGGTGATCGGTTTGGCCCCTGGCCAACGTGGACAGGGGCGAACGGGGCGAATTCTCCGTGTTTTCACGGGCTGGGCGTTCCCCCGTAAACGGGGTACTAGCGATGTCTCCGCCAATGGTCCAGGACGCATCGACGGGCTTGGGAAGGGTGGCCGAGGCCGGTGATACAACGCGAGCGTACGTCCGCTCCGGCGTCACGGGTCGCTCCACCTCGGTTGCTAGTGGCAGCGAGGCGAGTTCCCCTGTCGTCATAGCGGCACCACGGGAGTTGCGGCGACGCAGGGCACGGGCGGGGATGGATGGGGGTTCGGTTTGTTGCATGGTAGCAGCGAGAGGTTGTTGGTTTTTGGTATGATGGGTCTTCGTCGAAGTCGGCGGGCACGGGAGATCAATCCGCGGGAGGGCCAGAGCAGGGCGAAGAGAGGTAGAGCTTTACTGTTAAAAATATGTGACGGAAGCGTCCTTGAACGGGTTCCGGCACAAGAGATTGGGTAGTCAATCCGTTGGGTAACAGGGATAAGCTTTCTTGAATTGACTAGCGTACCGATCCTACGCTACTAAGTACTTATACTCGATCGAATTATCTACACAAACAAACACACACACACACAGGGGAGTCAGCAGGTTAAGGTAATCAGGAAGAGGAGCATTCCGTTACAGTGGCGATGCTGTGATAAGCGAGTGCGATGGCGGCGGAGAACAACGATGCGATGCCAACTACGGAACAATCGGCCTATCTATAGATCCGATCAACACAGCCACCAATCACCCTTCCTTGCCCACCGACACAATGTTTACCGCAAAACACTCGCCAACGACAACTTCGGGGTGAAGATTGGAAGTCTTGTGAAGTGGATCTTGTGGACCATCGTCATTCTGGCTGCGATGGCGTTCGGGTTGGAGAAAGTATTCGGAGATTTGAGAACGTATATCAAGTAGGGCTGTAATGAAACTCTTCTCAACGGCAAACGTTTGAGAAGAGATCCGCCAATATACCGAATCCAATCGCTGTGAGCTTGAGAGCGTTCGATGCAGAAACAGGGAACGGGGACGAATGGGCGACGGGCGGAGGGCGACGGGCGAAAGGCGACGGGCGAAAGGCAACAGGCGCAAGGCAACAGGCAACAGGCGCAAGGCGGCAGGCAACAGACAACAGGCGACGGGCGACGGGCGACGGACGGGCGACAGTGCACCAATACCATCCATCTCAACGACAGACGTTTGAGATGAGAAGGCACGGGGCGCCATTGAGAACTCCAACTCGTCTCAACGGCAAACGTCCAAGATGAGGGCGTTTGACTCAGAAACAGGGAACGTGGACGAATGGGCGACGGGCGACGGTGTAAGTTCTGGCCCATACCATCCATCTCAACGTCAGACGTTCGAGATGAAAAGGCACTGGGCACCATTCAAGAACTCCAACTCATCTCGACAGCAAACGTCCGAGATGAGTTGGAGGAGGAAGAGTGAAGAGTTGTCACGTGGGATCAATCTTTGATCCAAGATGATGGCGATCATCCATCGTTCCATCATGGTGATCACCAAGAGATCAAGTCATGTGAGTGGTGCCACTTGGAAGAAACCACGATGGTGTCAGACGTTTGTCGTCGACACCATTCAGCAGAACAGTGCTAGCCTTTCTCTTTATGCATCTATCAGATGTTTGCCGTCGATAGATGCTTTCTTCCTCGTTTCTTTCCAGGGGTGTCAGACGTTTGTCGTCGACACCATTCGAGATACCAGCCTTTCTCTTTATGCATCTATCAGACGTTTGCCGTCGATAGATGCTTTCTTCGTTGCTTTCCAGGACTTATAGAGCTTATTGTTAGTGTCTCGCAACGCTTGTCTTATCCCTTCCCGTTGAATCTGCCCCGTATTCGTGTCTTCGCCAGACGTCTGCCGTCGACGAATGCCACCATCGTCGGAGTACATTTGCGAGCGTTGCCCGCTGGCTAATGGTCGGAATCACCGCTTCCCGAAACTGCAACGCCTGGCGCATCAGGCCGCCATTGTGCGTTCACTAGAGCAGTCATCTCCGGCGACCGTGCCATCGGCAGATCGCCATCAACCTCCATCGCCTGTGCTTGACAATGAATTGAGCGAGGAGATCAGCGGACTATCCATTCCCGAAGCTCAGTCAGACGCCCCACAGGATCCTGTCGACATGGAACTGCAAAGGCTAGCCAGCCTCTTCACTGGGCTTGTCTTGCTGGACGACGGTGCTCATCCCCATCGTCAAACGCACTCCAAGCTCTTCAGCTCTCGGGATGAATATCAAACCGATGTACCTGAAGTGCCGACCGCGTTCACGCCGATCCCACCCAGTGAGGCTCTCGTCGGCGTGCAAGCAATTCTGCAGGGCCAATCGTCTCCTCTGCGACCGACAGTCGTCGACACCCAGAAAGTCAATTCGAAACTCCTGCAGGATATGCTCTCGCGAATTCGTGCATCCAGCAATGAACTCGGTATCCAGAGGGCTCTCGATTCGGATGCCCAAACGGTCGGTGCCTTGACGATTGCTGTCAACACCGCAAGCTCTGTCGTCATTGAGGCAGGCCGTCTCCTCTCTAGCGTCAATTCAGCTGGAGACCAAAACCCTCGCAACTCGAAGAGGCATGCTCGTGCATCGCATGCGAACACGGATGTTTTGGCAAAACAAGTGCAGGACGAGGCGATGGCTCTCGACTCTCTCGTCGATGTCATAGGTTGTCTTCTTCCTCCAGATACGAGCGAAGTGGAGTACGACACTGGTAAGTTCGCCTTTTCATTCTTCTCGCTCAGCAGCTTACGTTTGGACTTTAGCGCATCATTTTGACAATCCTATCGCTAAATTCAGTGTTGTGGCCCAACTCTCCATCCTCCTGGCCCTTATCTGCCACGTCGTCGTAGGAATCAGCAATGACCCAGTCAATCTCATCATCACATTTGTGAATACCATCGTTTGAGCGACCATGTCACTCTCCTCGCGTAGCGGTCAAGCGAATGCGACCCAGGAGCACGTTCTGAACGAACTGCCCACCTCCCTCGAGACTGCTCTCCGCAGGTTCAAGATTGACCCTGCGACGATTGTTTATGCGATGTGCCCAAGTTGCCATCACACACACGCAGCGAAGAAGGACCGTCTCAGTGCGGAAGCTTCTTATCCGGAGCATTGCCAAGGATACATTTATCCCCAGCGAGGAACCCGCCATGTCTGTGGGACTTCCATTCTGGCACTGGGGCATGGGAAGATGCGTCCAATCAAACCGTTTGTCTTCAGCTCGTTCGTCGACTACATTGCTGCCACTCTATCTGATCCTGAACTGGAGCGAATGTGCGAGAAAGCATGCGACGATGCCCTTGCTGCGGTGCGCACAGCCATGTCCAAAAATCCAGACGGACCTCTAGCAGAAGAACAAGTGAACAACGTTTTCGAAGCCGCATTCCTTCGAAGTTTTCCAGGACCTGTACCTGGCAAGCTCTTCATACAACGGGAGGGTCGTCTCCGTCTCGCATTCCAGGCCATGCTGGACTTCCTAAACCCCAATGGAACGCGCAAACGCGGTAATCACGACTCCATCGGGATCCTTGCCGTCGTCAACCTCAATCTCTCCGAGGATATTCGTTATCGCCCTGAGAATATGTGGCTTAGCATTATCCTTGGTCCCAACGAGCCTAATCACGATCAAATCGACAACTACCTTCGTCCACTCATTGACCAGTTTGTCATTGGCTGGGAGCGAGGCTTTCGTCTTTCCCGCACAGCGCTTCACGCCACCGGTCGTGATGTGGATATCGCGATGGTCATCAATGTCAACGACCTACCTGCTACTCGGAAGGCTCAAGGTATGGCGGCCGCCAACTCGAATCACTTCTGTTCCATGTGCGATCGTTTCGGGATCCACTGTATGTACGACACGGACTTTTCCACGTGGACGCGCCGCAATATCTCCGTCCTCCGTGCTCAATCTCATGCATGGCGAGACGCACCGACGCAATCTGCCCGAGACGCAATCTTTTCGGAGTACGGTGTGCGCTGGTCTGAATTCTGGAGACTTCCTTACTGGGATCCGACTCGCATGGCAGTTGTCGACTCCATGCACTGCATCTTGGAGGGACTGGTTCATTACCACTGTCGTAGAGTACTCCGAATCGATACTAAAGTTGCCAAACGCAAAGAAACCATGGGCGCCGCATTCGAACACAACTGGCCGGACTACGACGCTACAATCTGTCATCCACTGTGTGTATTGAAGAAAGAAGCGAAAGAACTACCGATGATCCGTACCATTCAGCAACGGCTTGTGCAGCCGTTACTTGTGGAAGACGCCGGCGAGGACAGCGATGAGGCGGAACAAGATGAAGATGTGGACATGGACGACACTTCCGATCCGCGATTTGTTCCTGCGGTCACTGAAGAGGAGATGCGTGAGCAACTAATGAGGCTCAATCTCCAGCCCCTTCGCTGGGTAGTTCATTCTCTCGGTCTCAACACGGAACCAGCTCGTATCTCATCCAAGAAGCTGTGTTGTGAACAGCTACTGGCTTGGGTGAGTTTCTTTACATCCCAGGCCTTTACAGTAACTGACAGTGACTCAGCGTCGTACTCAGCCCCTCACCAATAGCACATATGTACCACGCGCCATCAATCTGGCCAATATCCATTTCATCCAGCGTGTGATCGGAAAGACCACGACGCCAGCCTGGGTAGATTCTGTTCCGTCCAATTACGGTGATAGCAATGCGGGCACCATCAAGGCAGCCGAGTGGCGTATCCTCTCGACTATCTACCTTCCCATTGCCCTCGTTCTCCTTTGGGGTGACAATCCTCTGGACTCACAATCACCTCCAGACCCGCAACACACACGTCTGATACAAATGCTCGACCATACGATGGCATTGTTCAGTGCAGTCATTCTCGTCTGTCGGTACACTATGACACGCTCGCGCGCAACCAAATATCGGGCTTTTCTGAAGCATTGGGTCGACACTCTCTACGAAAATCATCCGCACACCCGATCCCATCCCTTGCGACCAAACGTTCACATGGCATTCCACTTGTACGACTTCCTCTTACTCTTTGGTCCCGTCATTTCCTGGTGGTCCTTTCCATTTGAAGGTGTAATCGGGCTTCTTCAGAGGATCAATACCAATAATCATATCGGTGGAGAACTTGAAGCCACGTTATCACGATCCTTCCTGCGCGGAGCAAGCATCCGTCGCTGGTTGCGTCGAGATGACTGTCCACCAGTCTTCCATGAGCTGAAAGCCCTCTTCGAGAAAACCTTCCCATCTTACAATACGCCTTTGGACTCTGCTCCCCTCGCCAACGATGGTGAACGTGCGCATTACAAACGAAACGGCATCAACTTCTCTCGTGCCAAAACACACTTAGGAAACAGCCTTGTTCTCTACTATCCCCACAAGTCGAGACACGCCATTGCTGGGAGCATTGAAGTGATCTCTATGCGTGGTGAAGATGTCACGTTCAGGATTCGACGACAAGCACCATTGGCTCCTGGTATCCATGATCCATTCGCTCGCTATTGGCCGTACTTCCCTGCACGCACGTATTCTTCTTCAATGAGCGATACAGTAGACTTGATCCCCCTTCACAATGTTATATCTCACTATGCGCGTTTCAATTTCTCTGATGGTCGATGCGTTGTCCTTGATCTAGCCACTAGTTAGTCATAGAGAATGTAATTTATTATTCCTATATCGATTCACTTGATGTCTTGAACCGATCAGCAACGGACCAGTAACCGATGAGCAACTGATCATCCGTGGATAGATGAAATGGGACGTGATTTCGGAGATATCGGGGCGGACTTTTTTCGGATCGCGATATCTCAGATATCATAAACGCTTATCTTTGACTTTATTTGGAGGATATTGAGCCCCAAATCGTGTGCCACCATCTGTCAATAAAAATTGGACCCTTATATTCGACCAAACATGTCTCAAAAAGTGCCCAACATTTTGGGATATTATATCTCATCAATACTGACCCCCTTTTTGGGACACAATAACTAATGTAACCGGAATCCGATCAATGACCATTTTTCTTAAGATAAAGAGTTGCTGATTGTGGCTCTGTTTTTGTGTTACAATATTTAAAATAAAAATCTATCTTTATGGCTCATTTTTTTAAACATCTGGCGGTGTGTCGGGCTATCCCTTTTCCTACGCAAATCAGCGCCACTTGTATGAGCTCAACGGGCATCCACCACTACCTGCAAGGGTCAACATAGTTGGTCCATACTTTCCCGTTTCTTATTGGTAATACATGTAAGTAGTCGATTGCTTGACTGGCTCGTACTAGTTTTTCCCTAGTAGTATTTGAGTCGAAGAATTGAAAGCGGTGCATCCGGCGAGCAGTTTCAGATGATATAATGTCAAGAAACGAAAAGCCAGAAATCATCTATGATCTACTCATGCACAATTCTCGTTGCCGACGACCGCAACGTTTTCGTGGAATCGGAAAAAATGACGGAGAGATACACTTGCCTGACTGTTGTCTGGATCTCGCTCGACCGCAAGAATCCCATCTCCCAGGATCGACCTCAGAGTGAACAGCACGGCATTGTACCCCGGGTGAATTGCGCCGTTGGACAGGATTTGGGCTACGGCCTTCCGAGCTGTGGTGTGGCGACCGTTCGCCTGGAAAGGCTGACAGCTTCAGCTCCAGAGAGCGATTGTGATTGATGCGCTCCTCATGCTGAAGAGCCCTTTGGCTATGAATGTCGGTCCGTATCGCTCTCGCCACCGGTTGGCGGCCTCCGGTACATCCTGCAAAGACGACAGGTCAAGGACCATGTTATACTGTTTCCAGTGTTCATTCTGAAATATCACTGATCGACTACACTCTTGCTCGACTGATGCTGCTTCTCTGAGTCATAGCCGCTGTGTCCTTTGACAACGCCAAATACCGGGCCGCCCTTTTTGTACATCTCACGTAAATCCTCGACGAGCAAATCCGGAGCTTCATATGCAGGGAAATGGCCTCCCCGCTCGTGCTTGTTCCTGTGCACGATGTTTCCAGTGGCATGGGTCCAGCTATGAGAGAGATGCCGAGGATGAGAGCACGTTTAGGGGACGATGGAACACACATACCTGATTGGGACATATGCCCTTTCCCCGGGAAAATGAGACATGCCCATCGGGATGGTCGGGTACTCTGCGGGTCCATAGACGTCCATTGTCCCGTCTGACCGGCCTTCCGAAAACTCGTAGTAGAGGCGGCCGGCCGCGGTGGGCCCGGCGCGGGAGAACCAGTAGATCGATATCCAGGTCAGGACTGTCGTCATAAATGATCAACAGCCAACGAAGCGCGGAGAGTCACACACCTTCGTCGTCATTCCAGGGGTATTTGTCTGTCCAATCCACCAGCTTCTCGTAGATCCAAGCAAGCAGTCCGACGGGTGAATCAGCCAGCGCGTAGCCCACGGTTTGGGGCCGCGTTGCTTGTTCGGCGAAATAGCCTAGTCCAATGCCCCTGTACGAATTTGCCTCCGCGAGCGTGGCCTTTTCTTCCTTTGTCAACCCTCTCAGGCACGAAGCCAACCATGAGAGCGGCTCATAGTAAAGCGAAGGGGGACGGCCCCTAGGTTGAATAAGATCAAAGAGCGGCGTCTAGATCCATGGACCACGCACAAGGGGAAGTTGGTGTGCCAGGCTTTGTTGTGCTGGTGGCCATAGCGCTTGGCGATGCGGCGCGTAATCTGCCAAAGTGTGAGACGGAAACACTGGAGATGGGTCAGGGGTCAGCGTACGAAGTAGCCCCAGTCGCCTCCTTGCGTAACTGAATCGTGGTGTGTCAGTGTCGAAGACGCGTGAACTCAGGTCCACTCACCGTATTCATTGTAGCCCAACGCCAGCATGATTTTGTGGCCAACCTACGCCTTGTGAGAGTCGCAGAGATATGTTACTGCTGCTGATACGAACCTCAGCCTGCTGCGCGATTGCGAATCCCTTCTTTCTAGGGGCTTCAGAGAACCCGTAACCAGCTAGACTGATCGCAACAACGTGGAAACTCGGATGTTCACTCGAACGCGCGACGAGCAACGGCACGATCTTCTTTGCCTCCAAGAAGCTGCCTGGCCCTGAGCAGTAAGAAACCACAGTCAGTTCACTCAACGCACCGAGTGTCGCGATCACAAAGGCAACGTACATCCGTGTACGAACAACAGCGGGATCGCGTCCTGTACTTCACTCTTCTGATGAATGTAGTGGATGTTGAGCGTCCCGTGTCCGTCCACCGCGATATCGCGCGTGAACTGAGGCAGTTCCGCATTGAGAGCAGCTTCGTGCTTCCGCCAGTCGTACCCGTCGCGCCACCGGGCGACGAGCCGCTTGATGTCCGCCAAAGGCACACCGTAGTCCCACGCGGTCTCGTCCAGCTCGTCCGGCAATCTCGTCGCTTTGAGTTTCTGGTGAAGCGAGGCCAGGGCATCGTCCGATACGGCGATGGTGTACGGCGTTTCTGGCATTGATGAGAGTCGAAATAACTGTGCGAGTAGCGGAGGAGTGGATGAGAGAGAGAAAAAAATTGGATCCCGTGGGACAACTTGTCTTGCTTTTTAAGCGAATGGGATGGATACCCGGGTTCTGTTCTTGCGGTCCTCCTAGCATCATCTTGTTGGTCAGTCGCAATGGCCTTTGCTAGAACGCTGACGGTTTCTGCAGCACCCCACAGGCCCGGTATGAGCTGCTTGCTGACATCGCTGTCATGAAGCGACAGAAGCTCACCTTGGAGTGCTTTTTTCCGTTTCTGCGTCTCTAAAATAAAATCGCCCGTGTGTGTCTGATGGGGTCGTACTCCCTTCTCAAGGGTTGCATCGCCGACTCGCTGGGTAATCCATGCGATGAAATTCCCACCTGGCATGAGGATGAGAAGATCTGCATCGGGGACGCGAATGATGCCATGCGTCCTCGCGGCCATCGTGCCCACATGACCAAACACCGATCGCGTGTTATTCGCATACAACATAGTACACACCCTGTGAACACATCGGTGCATGCTGACGGCCTGACTTCCTCAATGAGCCGAACCGCATCAGACTGGCTGCCTCTCCAATATCGCAATCACTGATTCATTGTCGACGGTTATTCCACGGCACGCTTCTGGGCTCTCTGTATTCTCTCTCAGAAGTCAGCTGCTTAAGTCATTCACTCTGACGAGCTCCCCTTGCCGAACTCTTCTCGGCGCCCGTGGTGTAAGCAGTGATTTGACGCTCGAGCGGCTTGCCACTGCCTGTTCTGCGGATGTGGTCAACGAATATGGGCCTCCTCTTGTGCTGAGCCACCTCATGGTGTCTACTTAGGGCCATGATCGCGAGCATCATTGTCCCGACTGTGGCCGCCCTGCTCGCATCCGTTGCGTGCTATGCCTTTGAAGTCTGGTACAGTAACTGGACCTCGTTGCTCAAGTTCATCGACGGTCCGCCGTGTGCGAACCCCTCTATGTGGCGTGGAATCTGCGTGAGTTTGAGACGGAAGCAATGTAGATAGATCCTGAGTCAGCGTAGAAATAAGCCCCAGTTACCTCGTTGCCTGACGGAATCCATGTGCCAGAGTCGGAGAGATTCGAGTTTGGGGCTTCTCACCCCATTCATTGTAGACTAATGTCAGCATGATTCTAGCCCCGACCTGAGCCCAGTGAGATTCACAGGCATTCACGGGCGCCTCGAATGAGTTTCTGACTTTGGTTAGAATCGAAATAGCTGTGCGAGCAGCGAAGAAGTAGGGGAGCAAAAAAGAGCCAAGGCCCCATACACACGATCATGGCACTCGGAGAATCGTGTGTGCGTTATTCCGGCGCCGTTTCGGTGGTCCGCTCGGAATCATACTGTTGGTAAGCTGCTGCAAAATACTCAGTTCAAGAACTGACGGCGGTGTAACACCCCGCGGGCCCGGCATGAGCTGCTGGCTGATATCGGTGAAATGAAGGGACGGAAGCTCGAAGCGCCACGCGTGGCATCTCTACGAGTGAAGGGTCTAATTCACCACACGGCTGCTCTTCATGAGAAATGCTTTCCCGGATCACCGATTGCTCCAAGGCCGCCATCACGGCGTTCCCTGATCAGACCAAATAATGACAGTGACGGGTCCTGTCTGCACCTCTGCGCCCTCATGAGAAGATATCGTTATTCACCAATGCTCGGACTTCTCAATGAGGATAGCCTTATCAGGCTTACCCCCAAGAATCAACGGCGGGCCGCCTTTCGCAGAACGCGCTCTCTCTCTCACTGTGATGGTTGTTGCACCACATACTTCGGGGCAACCCCTCAGAAGCCAGGCGAGCGGAATTCAACCGGTACGGAGGTCATGATTTATGACATATCTCTCTTCCAGAACTCCTTTAGGCACTCGTGAATTGCTCAGCTAGGGAAACCTGGTCATTTCAGTTTACTACAGGGCCGGTGGATGCAGTAGAAAATTCATACATAAAGTCTCTTCCTTCATCCACTCTCTCATTAGAAACAACTCCAGCCATGATCGCAAACATCGTTATCCCTGTTGAGCACTGGGGAGAGCGTCTAGCAACCCACCTGTGTGAGTTGAGAGCTTAGTGTGGGCACTATGCGGGAGTAGTCAAGAGACTTGTATTAAAGGGTAATAGAGCCCTCCTTATATATGATACAGGGGGCCGTTTGTGTCTATTTGGGACGAGTCGATATGACTCTAGATGACACGTGATGGAGTCATAGATATGTATCACGACATCCATCTTGACAGATGATATTTGATCAACACTCCCCCACGCTGAAAACCACGGGATAGTGTTTGAAAGCGAATCTTCATCGGCCATTCCTTCAGGACGAGTTGAACTCAAGTCCTAGTTGAGATCTGAACTTCTCGAACTTGACGCGTCCTAGGTTCTTGGTGAACATATCTGCAGGATTCTCACTGCCCGGAATAAAGAACAGTTCAACCTCTTCTTCCTCGACTCGCTCACGAATGTAGTGATAGCGGATGTCGATGTGTTTCATCCTGCGGTCTCGGTAGGCATTGCTGCCACTGAAGAGTGCACCCTGATTGTCACCGCAAATGGGTACTGGGATGGTGAGTTTGAACTGGAGTTCCGAAAGGACGCTCTTCAGCCACATCACCTGGCGACTACAATCTGAAATCGCCATGTACTCTGCTTCGGTCGAAGACTGCGCGACTGTGCGCTGAAGTCTAGACTGCCAGCAAATAATCCCATCTGCCAATTTCGTGAAGAAACCAGTGGTAGACCTCCTCTTGATCGGATCAGCAGCCCAGTCTGAATCGCTAAATGCAATTAGCCCTCTATCCGTCGCACCATTGAAAATGAGCGAATAATTCCTAGTACCAGCCAAATAGCGACAGAGATACAGCGCTTTATGGAGGTGGTCTTGGGACGGATTGGCAGCAAATTGTGACAATTTGGTCACAGCAAATGCAATGTCAGGACGTGTGCCTAGCATGATGAAGAGAAGAGATCCAATGACTGATTGGAATTTCTTCCTGAGCTCTGGATCGACTTCATCCTCATTTGGCATTGGAACATATCCAGCCGGTAGAGGGGTCGCTGCGAACTTGGCGTTCTGCATCCCAAAGCGCTCTAGCACCTTGTCGAGATAAGGAATCTGATCAATCTTGATCAAAGATCCTACTCTACTGAGGCGCACGCGCAAGAACTCTGGAGTATCTTCAGAATTGCGGCATTCCCATCGCTTGTTGAACTCAGCCTTGAGAAAGGCGAGGAGCTTCTTGTTCTTGGAGAAGAACAGTGCATCATCCACATAGACTATTATGACGGCTATGCTGCCATCAGAGTCCTTGTAGAAGAACACGCCGGCATCCGATGTAAGTCGGATCCAGCCCATGGCTTTCGTGGACTTGGTCAGCGCTTTCCACCATGCTAAAGCAGCTTGTTTGAGTCCATAGATTGCCTTGTGCAAGCGCATGACTTTGCGCTCTTGGCCTCTCGCCACAAAGCCTTCGGGTTGTTCCATATAGACCTCTTCGTCAAGCTTTCCGTAGAGAAAAGCCTTACTGACATCGAGTCCAGACCAATGCCAATCATTGAGCGCTGCAAGCGCCATGACCAACCGGAACGTCTCATACCTGACAACAGGAGAGAATATCTCGTCATAGTCAACACCTTCGACTTGACTGAAACCCTTGGCAACTAGGCGGGCACGTTTTCGGCCATCAGATTTTTGGTCAAAGACCCAGCGACATCTGATAACCTTCCGTCCTTTCGGGCGGTCCACAAGGGAATAGACCTTGCGCTGACGAAGTGCCTCTAACTCGTCGCGGCAAGCATCAATCCAACCTTTCTGTTGTTCAGAAGGCAACCACTTGATATCGCGGAACGTCCAATCGCGAATTTTGGACGTATCAGGTAGGTTCTCATTTGGAACCGCTTTTGACAGCAGCGCCATGATGAGCTCTACTCCCCCTTCCCGGCATAGCTTCTCCATGCGTGCATCCTCGTCTAGATCATCAGAAGCACCCGCGTTTGAGGAATCTGGTTGCGAGCTAGGGCCGGGAACCCCTGCATCAGCACCGGTTGATGGTTGAGATTGGGAGCTACCCTTATCTTCACCAACATACCGCTTCCATCCTCTGCTGTTCTGAATGTCATGGACTATATCCGTAGGGGTACGCTTTTCCCCATAGACGTTTCCTGGACGTGTAGGCACATTCCGCTGGCGTGAAGACCTTCGAGGCTCAGGAGCTGGTGAAGCTTCCCGACTTGGTCGTGGAATTCTACTTCTACGAGTCCTCTGAGGTTCATCCCGACGCTCTGGCGGTGGGTCCTGACGATTATGACCGTCGTCACCATCATCATTTCCCTGTACGGGAGGTGGTGGAGCCGGATCAGATGGCATGGGAAATGGAAAAGGATTATCTCCATATAGCCAATCTTCTCCGTCTACCTGTGGTGGATCTTGTGGATTCACTGGGTCATCACGTTCTGGAAATTCCTCTCCAACAGGAACGTGGGGTGGTCGATTGCTGTCAGGACAGCGGGGGAACAACTCCTCGTTGAACAATGCCTTGGTGGCGACGAACGTGGAATTGTTTGTGCGCATAAACAAAAATCCTTTCACACCATCAGGAATGCCCAAGTAGGTCATCAGCTCCGATTTGGGCGATAACTTGTTGGCGCGCTTCTCATCAGGGATAAAGACATATGCAGCGCAACCAAAGACTCGGAGTTGGGAAACATCCGGTTTTTCCTTGTGAAGAGCTTCAAATGGAGTTTTCCATTTTAGACGCCTGATAGGTGTCAAATTGTAGATCCGTGTCGCATGTTTGATAGCGAATTCCCAATATGAATTAGGAAGACAGGCAGTGAAGCGCATGGCTTCTGCCTTATCCATGATCGTACGATTGAAGCGATCGGCATGCCCATTCTGCTGGTGAGCATATGGAGCACCCTTCTCCACTAGAATTCCTTGTTCCGCGAGAAATTCTTCCATTCCCATCCCCATGAATTCTCCCCCATTGTCAATATGCCACTTTTTGATGGTGACATTGAACTGGTTTTTGACCATCGCAATGAAATTGCGCATAGCCTGCTTGGCGTCGGATTTCTGCGCAAGGCATACTGTCCAGCCATAGGAGAGTGCTTCGTCGAAGAAGCTCATGAAGTAGCGGTACTTGTGATAAGACACCGTGGGAAATTGTTTGAGATCCGAGTGGATCAAATCAAATGGATTCTCCGCTCGTTTTTCGGAAGGCGGGAAGGCACGTTGGTGCATTTTCCCTTGCGCGCATCCTTTACACGGTCGGGTTTCCTCGGGAAATACTAGGTCTTCTGGAAAGCCCTTGGTATTCTTCTTTGCCTGACGTAAAACGTCTTTCGACGGATGTGCAAATCGCCGGTGCATGATCTCATAATCCACCTTGTAAACAGTGGACATGGATCGCACTGTCTCAGCCGTACTAGGCTTTGACATCAGGAAGTACAATGCAATGTCCTTCCCTAGAGTTCTAAACTCCATGATCGAGAGTGGGGACTTCCCTCGATGTAAGCTGATCCGCGATTCGTCTCCACGAACGCGAGATCCTCCTTTGAGTAAGGAGCCCAAAGACATGAGACAACCATGTAATCCTGGCACTAGGTACACTGGATATATCTGAGAAGTCACCATTGTCTTTTCTCCATGCCTTGTGACGTAATGATCAATGAAGGCTGTTCCTCGACCAATAAGGGCAACACGTGTGTTCTTATCAGCGGTCTGAGCAACAATAGGATCTGAGAGCTTCTCATATCCGACCAGATCACTAATCTCCGATGTCACATGGAGAGATGCACCTGAATCAAGAAGCCATAGAGGCCCTAATTCATGATGATGATGTTTCCCCTTACACTTAGAGCAGGCAGCAAAATCGGAGTGCACACAGAATAGATTGGTACAAAAATCATGCGAACGAATCATCAACGAATTAAGTACAGAACCCGGGGCGGCGGTGATTACGCGCTTTGGCTGTGAGCAACAATCAGAATTGTGCATGTGCCCAAGAAGGCAGGGTACTTGCCTTTCGGCGGAAGGAGCGTCCATCTCCTCCAGAAGGGTGTTGAAGTCGACGACTTCATCCCAATTGACCGGTTCAGCCTGGGCGAACTCGCTATCTCCAAACAGAAGATCAAGATCGTTCTGTTGGCCGGTGGCCATCTCGACGTCGGGGATCTCCTCGATACGACTGCGTTTGGCAGGAGGACCATCATCCAGCGTGTGATTCGAGCCGGAAGCAACCGGAGATGGAGAACGCATGATTGCGTCCTCGCGGAGCATTCCTTTCTCATTGACGATCTTGTCGAGAGTCCGGAAGCGTTCTGCGGTCACCGTCACATCCATCTTTTTGGCCAGCTCGAAGACCTTACGAGTAGGCTTCTGAAACTCGGTGTCAATAATCCCATTGTTGTTAACGGGAGACTTCTCTTGAACCGCACGGATTTTGGGTCCATCGCGAGAGATGTGCGTGACATGCGAGATCGTCGGTGCAGGGATAGACGGAGTGAGCGAGGCGATCGAACCAATAGTGAGGGAGCCAGTGATCTCGGAGACTCCATGGACATGACTGTGATCAGCCTTGCCCTTGCCCTTGTTGTCCTTGTTCTTCCCACTGCGCTTGCCTCGACGGTTCTTCTTCTTTCCATCAGCCTTATCACCCTTATTGGGTGCAGAGCCAGAGCCCTGTTGCTGATTGGTGAACGAAGGGTCATCGCGCTTGCGCTTGGTATTGAACTTGGCCACATGATTCTGGCTTTGAGACTGCTTCTGAGCGAAATGCGTCAAGAGAGCGTCACGCACCGCCGAGACTTTGATCTCGTCCTTTTCATAGGTCTGGAGAACAGTCTCTGTGACGGAGGGAATCCGGGCTATGTTGAGAATGATCATCGCTCTGAGGAACTCAGGGATGCTCAAAGACTCATTCTCCAGGCGAGCGAACGCCGTAGTGATCACCAGCAGCTGTGGATCAGGGTGCAACCCCACGTTGTACTTGGCGTTCAACGCGGTTTGGAAGTACGCGTACAGGTCGGCGCACTGAGCACCACCGTATTGGGTCTTCAGGTGCTCCCAGATCTTGGTAGCTGACACTATGTTGGCGGTTGGAATGTTGGCAATGACTCCCTCAGTCAGGCGCAACTTAATGCTGCCCTTTGCCCTGAGATCATCATGCTTCCATTGCTTGATCTCCGATGCGTTGGTCACAGAGCCATCCGTAGCCTTGACTTTGGTTGGCGCGGTCTCGGTCAGCACGTATGAGATCCCCTGATGCTCCAGATAGGACTCCATAGTTCCAGACCAGGCAAGCCAGTGCTTTCCATCAAAGATGGAGACAGCATTGAAGATGTTGTTGGAGTTGGACGACATGTTAATCTGTGTGAGTGATCAGCATCAATCTAATCTGATAGATAAAATCAAAGATAAAGATGATCAGATCCTCATAGATCATAATCTCCTTCAGAGATCGATGCATCTGGATCAAGCGATGTAATCGCGATCCGGCATGGTTTCACCAGCGCTATGCAGCAGCTGAAGTGATGACAGATAGGCTAAAGACGCTGCTCATCGTTGCAGCCAGTGACGGCGCATACAATGAATGTCGCGGCCATTGAGGCGCAGACATAGCTCTCGGGGCCCATAACCTGTTGAGCACTGGGGAGAGCGTCTAGCAACCCACCTGTGTGAGTTGAGAGCTTAGTGTGGGCACTATGCGGGAGTAGTCAAGAGACTTGTATTAAAGGGTAATAGAGCCCTCCTTATATATGATACAGGGGGCCGTTTGTGTCTATTTGGGACGAGTCGATATGACTCTAGATGACACGTGATGGAGTCATAGATATGTATCACGACATCCATCTTGACAGATGATATTTGATCAACAATCCCGACTGTCGCTACTCTTCTCGCATCTGTTGCCTGCTACGCTCTCAAGGTTTGGTACACCAACTGGACCTCGCCGCTCCGTTTCATAGACGGTCCACCATCCGCCAATTTTTTCATGGGACATTCCGCATTAGTATTCGTGAGGCAGATATACTCAAACAGGCCGTTTTGTGCGCTGAATTGCCCTCGTGTCCATGCAGGATGTCCCGGAAATCACGGACAAGTGGCGAGAGCAATATGGCCCAACGTTCATGGCCAAAGGTATATTTGGCGTGAGTTTTCAACAGCGGTGTTTTTCTGGGGTTGACCCCGCTCTGGCTTTCAGGAGGACGATCTCTACATCACGGATCTGAAAGCCGTATCGCACATCTTCTCCCACGGCGCCATCTACGAGAAGACGCAAGCTGTGCATTCCGCCCTGCGAGAGATGCTAGGTGACGGGATTCTCGCGATCGAACAGAATCCCCACAAACGTCAGGTAGCTTGAATGCTTAATCATCTCATGGTCTGATCGCTGACGTCTCGTTCACGGCACTCAGCGCAAAATTCTGGTTTGTCTGCTTGCGGTTCACGTTTGGTCGAAATTCCGCTGATTCTGTGTGGATAGAGCCCTGCCTTTGGTCCCAAGCAGCTCCGCTTGATGAATGAAGTATTTGTGGAGAAAGGGAATCTGGTGAGTCAACATGTTTCCCAACGTCCACGACTTCACTCAGTGATATTCTAGATGCGCGACATGCTGACGAAAGAGGTCGCCGCTCAAGACCAGGTCTTGAATGTCGATATCTCAGACTGGTTTCGTCAGGTCACGCTGGACATCATTGGAGAGGCTGGTGCGTAGCGCGCATGGGACACATCGTGGGGTGTGCTTTCTGATTTTTGCAGGATTTGGATATCAGTTCAACTCCTTGAAGTCGGGCGGCAAAGACGAAGCGGAGTTGAGCACAGTCTTCTCTCGGTTGTTCAACGACCCAAACTTCAACTTCAATTCGGCCTTCCGGGCCGCACAGGCTGCGATCCCGGTGCTACGGCCTCTTGTGGGTGACTATCATTGACCAAAGAACCGAAGTTGATATGGATCGTAGCCGCTCCCCGGATGGACAGTCATTCGTTATGTGAACAAGAAGTTATACGCAATAGGAAAGGAGCTCCTGGACAAATCGAAGGCCGAATGTGTTGCGCTTGGGTCCAAGGACTTGGGGTCAGGTCGCGATCTGTTGTCCATTCTTGTCAAGGCAAACATGTCCAGTGATGTTCCCGCCAGCCAGCGCATGAGCGACAACGAGGTCATTGCCCGTGAGTCTCTCTGGTTTCCTGCTCTGTGTGGAGCAGACTGAGTATCAACATGTTTCGCAGTAATCCCTACGTTTTTCCTGGCTGGGCACGAAACGAGCAGTATTGCTCTCGCTTGGGCGGCGCACGCCTTGTCACACGACCAGACTGTTCAGGACAAGCTGCGTCAAGAGTTGCTCTCCCTTCCGACGGACACTCCAACCATGGACAAACTTGAGTCACTCCCGTTGAAATGCTGAGGGCGTGCTCACAAGTGAATCTACTATGAAAGTAAACCCAAATATAAACACGTTCACACTCCTCGTAATCAGCTTCTCAGTGTGTGAAAGATGCGAGGGCTTCGGGGTGGACAGAACACCAGTATCACAGCTCTCAATAGACGCAGATCCAATAGTCGCGGAAGACGAAGTCGACGACAAGGATATATATATGTAGCAAACAGTGGTGTCTCAACCAATATCTTCTATACAAACACAACCAACACTAATAAAATCCACAAACAACAATATAACAAGTCAGAACTTAATACGAAGTATTAAGATCCCTTGTAGCGACAGCGTCTAGATGGCGACACAAAGCCCTAAATATCAAGTCGACGCACTGCCAACCGATACAACGAATATACTGAGTCGACGCACTGCCAACTAGTAGAACCAAAATGTCAAGTCGATGCACTGCCAACTGACACAACCAAAAGTACTGAGTCGACGCACTGCCAACTAGTAAACCAAAATGCCGCGTCGACGCACTGCCAACTAACAGCCAATATCCAATGTCCAAAACCCGAGCACAACTTGTCGACGCACTGCCAAGCAAGAAGTGTGGAACCAAAGTTCTCAAGTCGACGCACTGCCAACTGACCAAAACAACCCGAGCACAACTAGTCGACGCACTGCCAAGCTAGAGGTGTGGAACAATCTCAACAAAGCCCGAAGGCGACGACACTAAATGCCGCGACTAAACCAGATGCGGCGAATCCGACTTTCTGATGTCTCAACTCAAACTCAAATCACAGTAGCTACAAGTGCTCAGGGAGCAACTCGTCGTGACCGGGCAGGGGCAGCAGAACTTCTTAGGGTGGAATCACGCGGCACGCAAATTGTACAAAACAATCTGAAATGAGAGTGATTCACAGTCCGGGGGAAAGCTTTCTAATACAAAGAAACGACGTGCTACTTATACTGTCTACGACGATGCTTAGTAGAGTCCTGTACAACTGCATAGTAGCTACGCTATCTAAGATCGGTTGCCTTTTAGGGTAATTGAAAAGTTGAACGATCGGACAGGTCCTGAGTGATCAGGACCCCGCCCCATAGTCCATATGATACTTTTGATGTGGGTCAACCCGCCGCGTCATACTTTTGGAATACGACGTGCTGGATTGGCCAACGGGTATGTCTTGGCATGTGAGACCAACGTGGGCGCCCCAAGAAGCCGTATGGCCCTAGGCACGCCAGTCGTCCCCCACATGGTTTGGCTCACGGATCTAGCCGTGTCAATTTCTAGTGTGTTTGGGTGTTGACGCGCATCGCCGTGGCACTTGGGAGTGTCACCGCGACGCGTCCTCAATGTCCCGTGATCGAATGGATCCTGACATGTGACAAGTCGTCGTCGTGGCATGATCTGAGGAAACGTCCAACTCAGAACCGGGAGTTGCCGCGACAAGATGGTTTAAGTCTCGTAACGCCAAGTCCTGTCCAGTAGTAGTTCTATTATTGAGAACGTCGCGCATTGCTCAGCCCTTCAGCCCAAGTTCCCATCTGCAGAGAATGACCCTTTTCGAGAAGTCGACGCAACGACAGATCCCTTTGTGGGGAATGGTTGCGGTCCAAGCGGTCGTCACTAATGGCCCTGAGCCTGGTGTAGACTCATAAGACCAGTTCCACAGTAGTGGTCTGACTGCCTTGCTATCGTCGACACTATCCACAGTCGTCGACTGGGCAGTAGACCCTTAAGTCCTACTGAGCGCAACACTGTCAACCGCGACACGATACACCGAGTGGTTCAAGAGTAAACTCTGTAAAAGCGCAAAAATACGCCCTTACAGAGCTGGTGCAGAGCGCGTCTGGTAGCCAGCCTATCATCTCCCAGGAACACTAATTTTGACCTCCTGGTCAATCCCGCGACAGTCTCACTGCGTCAGGTCTAAGTCCAACAGTCGACGTCTCATTCATTTATTATTAAAGCCGCGGAGACATAGAGTTATGTTCCCACGTCTTATTCATTTGGTTGTTCGGTTCCTTCCGTGATTTGCCGCGATCAAACTTCTTCCGGCATGTTCACCATATAAATGCCCTCAATTTTCAGGGTCGAGAGTCTCCCTAGTACGAGACACTCTTGCCTTTCGACCACCATGTCCGCGCCCGACCAGAGCCCCCGCCCCCAAGACACCAACCGTGAGTGACGCCCAAGACGGTTACCGCGACTTTTCAACCACGCTAACCATCCATCAGCCGTCACTGAATCAGCTGTCCCGGGAGCAAACCTGCCTGCCATCGACTGGCGGCAGTTCATGCCGTCCGTCAAGGTCTCTCCCATGGCTTGTCGATCCAACTCACCACCTGCCTAGCCCCGAGGCCTACAACCAGATGTTGCGGCAGATGGCCGTTGACGTCCGCCAGATTCAGCAGGTGAGCTCCGTTCTAAGCCCGCTGGAGCGAGCAGTCACGGCGATCAATGATTGCCGCGCCTGTTCGCTTTGGCCTTCCATTCTTTTCACTAACGTAAGGGCTAGCCGGCGTCTACGCCCTTGACCACCAACGCTCCAGTCGAGGAGTTGTCGCCGCCGAAGAAACGCAAGCGAGTCGTCGAGCCCGTACGTATACTCTATTTCGTTCGTTTCACTATGTTCTGATCGACTCCCAGGCGGCTCCAACCGAACAAGTCGCCGCCCCTTCGTCGTCCCGGCCTGCCAAGCAGAAGGGGAAGGGTGACGGCTCCAAGCCGCAGGCCCCTGCCGCCGTCGCGGGCAGCAAGGTCGCCGTCGCCAAGAAGTCGAGCGAGAAGTCGCAGGGGAAGCGACCCAAGGCGACTCCTGCAAAGGAGCCCAAGGCGTCGTCCCACGCGCCTACTCGTAAGTGGCTCTTTCCTTTCATTCACCAGAGTCGCGGGTACTGACTTGTCGTAGCCGCTACCTCGGTCCCTATTCCACAGGGGTCACCTCCCAAGCGCGTCCACAAGAAGACGCACGCAGGTGTGTGATCCTATGTCTTATTTCATTGATCTTTAGACTAACCACTTGGTCCCTCCCAGCCCGGATCCAAGCACAGCCTGTGCAGCCCGAGTCCCTCAGCGATGAGGAAGCCGCCGCCGTCGCTGACACTGCGATGGATGTCGACGACGAAGGGGTCCAGGAGGGAGACGCGTCCTCGGCCGACGAGCTGGCCCTTCAGGTAAGTGACCCAGTTCGTCGATCGCGGTTCCTTCGTCTCATGGTTGGTTTGTTTTGACAGGGGCCCAAGTCCAAGGGGAAAGCGCGATCGAACCTGAGTGCGTTTTTCCTCTTGTCCCCCTCTGTCGTCTACTCATCCTTTCGTAGCCCCGTCCGTCATCGTCATGGACGACACCTCCGAGAGTGGAGAGGAGACCGGCGACTTCGTCGTGGCCAAGAAGCAGGTCAGCGAGACCCGCGTCAAGCCCAAGGTACTGTAGCAATTTGTAGGGGGGAAACGGATTTTGGAGCGTTACGGAAACGTAACGCTGGAAACACGGAAACGGCCGTGATGTTATGCGTTACACTGGAAACGTCTTTGGAAACGCCGCCGCAGACGTCGGAGAATGAGAAGATGGTGATTATTGCATGTACATCAGCTACAGCACAGTTTTCCTCATTCTACAATCATTCTACACATGCATGTCGTCGAAAAAGAGCACCAAAGGGCCAGGACCACCACAGGCCATGATCGAAAAGATCGAGTACCTTGCGGAACTCGTCAACAATCACGAGCCTGAAGACGAGGAGTTGGCCGCTGAGTAGTTCGAAGGACCGAGAAACTTTTTAGCGACTTTTTGGACCATTTTTAGAATATTTGTATGTAACGCTTTTTTCTTGGAAACAACGGCTGCGTTATGCGTTACATGGGAAACGAAACGGACCCTGCGTTACGCGTTACGTTTCCCCCCTACAAATTGCTACAGTAAGCCGACTCCTTTTTCCCAGACCACGCCCCTTAATCCAGCTTTTTAGCCAATCAAGAAGGTCGCGGATGGATCATCCAAGTCGACCAAGTCCGTGCCTCCCCATCCGGTGCCCAAGGTGGAGGCCAGTCGCAAGGCAAGCGCCCCGCGAGCGACGACTACCCCGACCCCAGTGGCTAAGGTGAGACACAAATCTTGGGTCCCAGACGTCGACTAACTCGTTCTTCTTTCTTTTCTAGGTTGCCCAGGCGGCCCCGGCGATTTCGTCGTGGCCAAGAAGCAGGTCAACGAGACCCGCGTCAAGCCCAAGGCGAGCCGGCTCCTTTTTCCCAGGCCACGCCCCTTAATCCAGCTTTTTAGCCAATCAAGAAGGTCGCGGACGGATCGTCCAAGTCGACCAAGTCCGTGCCTCCCCAACCGGTGCCAAAGGTGGAGGCCAGTCGCAAGGCAAGCGCCCCGCGAGCGACGACTACCCCGACCCCAGTGGCTAAGGTGAGACACAAATCTTGGGTCCCAGACGTCGACTAACTCGTTCTTCTTTCTTTTCTAGGTTGCCCAGGCGGCCCCCGCCGCTACCAAGACTCCACGCAGTGAGTTGGGCAGGGTGGCCGCGACCCTTGGTCGCGAGCGGAGTGTTGCGGCGGCCAAGGCCGAGCTCAAGGCCCAGAAGGCAGAAAAGTCCGTTGCGGCGGTCAAGAAGAAATCTGACTCGGTGAGTCGCGACTTTTCTTGTCATCAACTTTTTACTGACTTGACTGTTTCTAGACTCCTGCGAAGGCGTCGGCCCCCACGCCCCAAGCTCCGTTCACTCCCGCCGCCTACGACACCGAGGCGCTCCTTTCGGTGGCACGCCAAGGGTTCGCGTGGAAGTTGGAAAGGGCCGGCGTCGAGGTGCCAACAGACTTCGTGCGTTCCTTTATCTTTTTCTGCCATGCCTCGACGACTGATTCCCTTTTCATAGGAGGTCGCGCCAAGGCCCTGCGCGATGTGCGTGACGCGGCAGCGCGTCTGCTTCAAGAGCGTCGACGGGCGCCACGGCAATCGGTGCGCCCCGTGCGTGCTCTATAAACAGACTTGCACCAACGGCTACAAGCCCGCGGAG